GCTGTGGGTGACCCTGCTTCGGCAGGAGGGTTGGACTGGATGACCCACAGAGGTCCCTTCCAACCCCTACTATTCTGTGATTCTGTGATTCTGAGCAGACACAGCAGCAGCAATCGCACGCGCCTGGCTGTCGCTCTCAGGAGCAAAGATACCCAAAAGCTGCTTAGGGTTGTCCTCAGACTATGCCTGATCGCTCTTCTCCTGCGACAGGCAGACTTTCTTTTGGCATAAGCAGCAGAACAAAAGGAAGCTTGGGTTTGTGTGCGATGGCAGAATCAGCTTCACAACTGCCTGTACGTAACTGCCCACAGGACATACGAGGTCACCAAGGTACGCGACCCGTGGTGTTCCCCTCTCATCCATGGTCAGAAACTAAGGGCTAGATGAACTGTGCTAGCAGCCAAGGCCCACGCTCCTGGCCGTCCTCCTTCCCTGGCAGGCAATGCCTTGCACGCACATATGCTCCGTGTATTTTCGTTTGCATAAGCACAGTGAACCCAGCCCCAGCCACGAGCAGATCTGCTGCACGCGGACACACTGGCTACATCGTGTATGCATCACAGCTTCGGCCACATGGCAGGGAAGAACATGTGGCCCTTTGAGACCAGAGGAAACGTGTGGCCTGCACAGCCAAACCCACTAGACACCAGTAGCTTTAGCCCAAACAGACAGGGAAGCTTGCAAAGCCTCTCCAGGAGCTGCTTGCGCCTGATGGCAGAGCAGGGTAAGAAAGCACCCCAAACACCTCACCCAGTGATACCCCCCTCCTCTGTCAGGTTGGACCAGACTTGACTCTTCACTGGTTCTGGCCCTAAACCACGCATCAGCTGCCTAAAACCTCAGCTGTAGGGACATGCACCCCTCCCTCCCCATCTTCTCCTGGCCCAGGCGTGAATCCAGAAACACCTTACAGGTGGTGTAGTTCCCTACAAGTCTTACGGAGGGAGAGCAAGACGTTTACTGGTGCTGCATGGTGACCAGGGAAGGTTTCTGAGGACTGGGAGAAAGCAGATGTCACTCCTGTCTTCAAGAAGGAGGATCCGAGGAGCTACAGGCTGGTCAACCTCACCTTACTCCCTGGGGGAGTGATGGAGCAATTAATCCTGGAAGCCAAACACGCTGAAGGACAAGAAAGTGACTGGGAGTAGTCAGCATGGATTTACGAAGGAAAATCACGCCTGACCAACGTGACAGCCTTCTAGGATGAAATGGCGAGCTCTGAGGATGAAGGGAGAGCAGTGGATGTTGTTCACCTCAGCATCAGCAACGCTTTCCACGCTGCCTCGCAACAATCCTTACAGACAAGCTGACAAAATGCGGCCTCGGTAAGGGCGGGCGACACCCCCGCTGACTGTGCTGGCACTTGGAGGGGCTTGGACCGGGTGGGAGATCCGGGCTGGCACAAACCCCGTCAGGTTCATTACAGGAACATGCAAAGTCCTCCACCTGGGGAGGAACGATCCCACGCACCAGCACAGGCTGGGGGGCAAGCGGCTTTGCAGAGGGCCTGGGGTCCCGCGGATGCCGAGCTGAACGTGAGGCAGCAACCTGCCCCGCGGCAGAGGTGGCCAGCAGCATCCCTGCCTTCCCTCCGGAGCGCGGTGCCAGCAGCGGAGGGAGACGCTCCTTCCCAGACTCAGCGTCGCTCCAAGGACTGTGTCACTGTAAGCTGAGTAGCAGATGAAACAGAGAAGCTGTCCAGGAAGCAGGGACTGAAACCAGGAGGTTTCCAGCACGGAGTGTATCAGCCTGAGTAATCCGAACTCACATCAGCACACACAGCCGACGGGAAAGCCAGGTACTACGCTGCAGAGCGTTCGACAAACAGGCTTGTAGGCGAAATACAAGCTGCAGCTATGACACTGGAACACCTCGCCAAGAACACACCTGATGACAAATAACACCCTGCTAGAAGCAGCTCAGACAGTAGAAGATCCAAGATCAAAGCTTCTTTAGACCGAGACGAATCCTGAGCAGCGCACTGCGTTTGGCTCGAAACACAGGGGTGACTTCAACGCGTACGGACTCAGCAGCTCTGCAGGAAGAAACAAACTCCACCACTGCTGGGTTTCACTGCCAAGCAGCAAAATGCAAGTAAATTAGGATACCTGTTAACAATACTGCAGGGAGCAGGGCAGGGTATCCACAATGATTTGATACAAATTAAACTTACTATATTGGAGCATACCATTCACCAAAGATATTTCCAGCAGACCAGACAGACAGCAGAGCCTGACAGCAGGCAAATGGATGCCAGGATATGAGAAATGAAAAAAAAAAAAAAAAAAAAAGAGAGAGAGAGAGAGAAAAAAGCAGCTTTCTGCAAGAAATCTCTAGCCAAGTGAGAAGATTAAGAAAGGTTAAATCCTGACAGATTCTTTGAGAAAAATCTACAAAAGGCACAGGAACAACCATGTTTCTTCTCAGAGACAGCAGGAGCAGGCAGTCTCCAACAGGCTGTAAGCAACCTAAGTATTACGAATGTTCAAAATCAGGCAATAGCAGGAAAAACTAAATGCCTTTTCCTACATGGATGTTCACCAGAAAGGAGCCTGGAGAGCTCATGAGAAATCTCAACCTCATTAACAGCTTCAGCTTATAAGTGAACAAAAGGAACAATGAGTCACCAGGGCCAGACATCTCCCAGGAGCTCCAGCAGATGAAACTGCTGCTCTGCTCCACGCGTAAAGCCTTGCCTGAACCGACCAGAACCAGAACACGGCTGCGATGCCAACGCTTGAGAAGGCTCTAGAGCAGGTCCAGGAAACTGTCGGTTGGTAAATGCGCAGGCCAGGCTGAGCAAACCCACAGCAACCACAACAGATAATATTAGCCTGTGTGTCCATCAGTTTTTGTGTCTGTGAAGAAAGAGCACAGCTTTTTTCAGGGAGAGGATAACTCACATAGCTATGCCAAGGCGCCAGTAAGCATCTGAACAATGCGGGCAGATAGTCCTCTGGCGCATTTTTGGAAACCCCTGTAAATTATTCAGCAAGGCTCCTCGAGGGCTCTTCAGGTAACTAAACTGGCCTGAGGCAAGAGGGATGGTCTTCCCATGTAAGAGGCAAGAACAAAAGGTAAGAATAATTAGTTCTCAACAAAAAAAAAACAACAGCCATGGAGATAACCTGCCAGGGCTTCATCCCAGGCTGTTGTCCCCTTCACTGCCTGGGTGTTTTCAGCACTTGTTTCTGTCTCCAAAAACACGGGGAGTCCTCAAGACAGCAGTATGTCCCAGGAACACAAGGCGGTGGAGCTCAGCAGACCAACACGGTACCCTAACAACGCGCTGCATCCCGTGAACTCGTGCGTCACACAGTGCTGACTCACACTTGTCCAGCTTACAAGCTGCAGGAAAAGAAGCATGCAAAGATCTACAGCAGCATCTTGGGGATAAACCACCTCACTGTCCAAGGTCAAACTCCCAGCTCGAGACCGCGAGCGCCAAATGGAAGCGTTGAAGCCCAGCCCCTGGCGTAACCGCTCCCAAACACTACTCCGAGCAGCCCGTCGCGGCGAGGACGGCACGCGCCAGCGCCTCAGGACGCTCTTGCTCGGCGGATCTGCAAGGCAGCAGGATGACTGCAGCCTTCAGCAGCAGCTCAGCACCGCCCTGTTTCTCGGCACTCTAGTCTTACGACTTCTCAAAGCGATTTATAGCATGGAGAGAGCCCAGCGGAGGGCTACAAGGATGGTGAGGGGACTGGAGCATCTCTCTTACGAGGAGAGGCTGAGGGAGCTGGGCTTGTTCAGCCTGGAGAAGAGAAGGCTGCGAGGGGACCTTATAAATGCTTACAAATATCTGCAGGGTGGGTGTCAGGAGGGTGGGGCCAAGCTCTTTTCAGTGGTGCCCAGTGACAGGACAAGGGGGGGTTGGGCTGGGTGACCCACAGAGGGCCCTGCCAACCCCTACTATTCTGTGATTCTGTGATCTGCTCACAACCAAACATACGCAGCTTTCTTTATGAGCCCGGATTTCTCAAAACGAGCTGCTGCCTCGGGGAGGGCCAGCGCAGCCAGAAGCACGGCCAGCCAGCTTCCCAGGCATCGGGACATCGCTTCCTGCACGCTTCCACGGCTGCGGTGACAGCGGGGTCTCGGGGTGAAAGGAAAGCAGCCAGCTGCTGCAGGTCTGGAAGCTGGGTCCCTCCAGGACAGTCACGTTTGAGGAAATGAACCTTTTTATAACGCAGGAGGCACAACGTTCCGTTCGGGTATTTCTGTAAGTCCATTATGTTGGAAAAAATCTACTTGGGGAAAAACATCATTGGAAGATACCAGGACACTGCCCTGTCCAAGCAGATCCTTTTGCTTCTGACTAAAAGCTGTGCTCATTTGCGTGTTTTTTAGGGGGGCTGTTTTTGTTTTGTTTTGCTATCTTACACTACAGGTGTGCTTGTGGGACCACAGCTCAGGTAACCACTGCAGGGCCAGGACGGCTGTCCCACGCAGCAGCCTGACAGAACCACACCGCTCCCCTGTTCCCCACAGTCAGAGCCACCTTGCTCTCCATCAGCAGAATTCACCTGGACCAGGTATTTTATGCTAAGGCCCTAAACATACCATTTTTTCCCATTTTTCAAGCCCAAACTCTTCCACCGTCTGCTGCATGTGATGTGCTCTCTTTCTGCTGAAATTAATTACTTCTGTCTATAATCTACATATTGAAATCTTTTAGAGAGCCACGGTGCAGTTGCAGCAAAGCAAGGAAACTAATTATTTGAATTGGCTTCTTTTAACACAAAGCCCTTCTGTGTGGGCTCGGCTGAAAAATTAATGTTTTTTCTTCCTTTCTCACAAAGTGAAATCCAGAGTCAGCTTCTATCAGTCACCACAGAACTGTAATTAAAGATTCCAAACTGTGCCCACACTCTGGCTGTCTTCCCCTTTTGTTCTTGTGCTTGAAAAGCCCTAGAAGAAGAGAGAGTTTCTACTGACTCTGTTCAGCACTCCAATACAAAGTGAAAGTGAGAAGATGCCCCCAGTAACACAACTAAATGATAAAAAACGGCTTGAAATAGCTCAAATATTCTAAATATGTAACAGGAACAACAGCAAAAACAAACAAAAAAGATCAAAAAAGGCCTGAAGTCCTTCATTAGAGCAGTGATTATAATTAGTTACGCAGATCCAGTTTCCAAGCAAGAAATGCTTCAGAGAAAAAAAAAAAAAACACCATTTTGTTCTTATTTCCAGTTCTGAGAAAGAGGCACATTTAAAGTTTTGGTCTCTAAAGACACAGAAGTTTTGTTAATTAACCTCCTGTGTTCACCTCCCCAGATCTGAAATTCCATTCCATCTCCATCCAAATTTTAAAAAACAATTCCTTTTTGGTTTGAAGTTGAAAGAGCAACGGTGCGCACTTACTGCCCAGACTGGAAGTCCTTCTCGTTCACCACAGCACAGTTGGTTAACGACAGCTCATCGGTGGGACATCTTGCTGCTTGCATAGGCTACAGGAGAGAGAGGGAAAGGGAAAAAAGCTATCAAATAAAATTCTGTTTTTCCTTTACTAAGCCAAGCCTCAAACCCTCTGTAAATCCATGAAACACGAACAGGTCTCGTGCGTGTTAACATACCCGGAGAGCACAGTGCACTGGCACTGACAAGCTCCTCTCTCTCGATGGTTTCTCCAAATGCTTCTGTTTGGTACAGATGTCTGTACCCAAAAGCTCTGCATTTTGTGAGCCCAGCATACCTTATATTTTCTAGCATACCTAGGAAAGTACCTAAAAATTACCTAGGAAAAACCCTGCCAGGCAAACGCTGTCAACTTGCCAGCGAACCCTGGAGTTCACGCAGCTTCCCGGAGCCCTGCCACGTGCCAGCCAGCAGCAAAGCACCCGCTGGGAGCCATTTCTTGCCCAGTAAAAACACACCGAGACATTCTGAAAGCCAGTAAGGCACAGAGCAGTTCCACTACAACCCTGAGTAACCCCACCCCGTAACGCTGCGCCGGGTTAGGGAGACTACGTGGGAAAAAGAGGGTGGAATAAACAGGTTATCCTCTCCCCTCCTTTGGGATTTTTTTTTTCCTAAATTCAAAGGAGCAATCCTGTTTCAAGAGTATCTGTTCAGGTTTTTTCTCCTCTATATTACTCACAAATCAGCAGCTAAAATAACCACATAGCCTGCGCTCAGCCCAGGCGACGCCAGCCCACCGCGAGGCAGCACGCGGCAGGAGCGCGGCAGAGGAACCTCGGCCCCATCCTACGCCCCGACCCCGTTTGCTTCTGCAAAATGACTCCATAAAACAACGGCTGAAAGACGAAAATCGGGCTCAAAATGCCTCTAGAAATGGAGAAAAGGATGGAAAAGGCTAGACATCTCTATCATTAGCTATAGGCTGAAAAAATTTAATTTAGAGAAAAGCTAAAGCACCCCCCAGGATGTTATTTTTAGAGCCAAAGCACAACTGCTTTCTTCGTCAGACACAGATCTGCAGGCAGTGCAACAGAACTGGCAGTGTCAGCCTGCTGCCAAACGCAATTCGGAACGGATTTTCTCTTCAGACACCCTCAAACCCCAGCCACAAGAGAAGGAAATGCACTGATCCTAGCGCACACATCCAGATAATTTCCCAAGAGTTAAAGTCCTGCTCAGCCTTTCCCCCCTGCCCCGCCGGGCCATCTGAGCAAAGAATCAGAGCAAATTCATCCCCACGTGGGCTGAGGCAAGCCTGCTCTATAGCTCAAATCAACTTCTTTGGGCGTAACGTAATTCTTCCAGAGTACCTGCTATTTAGAAAAGGACTAATTCATTATTTTTACTGAATAATGTTCATTTGCCCTTGACATATGTGACTACAGAAAAGGATTCTATTTTCAGCCTTGAAACAGATTTATCCACCTGAAGGGTACTAAGAGACTCAATTAAATATTCTTGTAATAAAAAAATCTATGGCCATCAGTGGACTTCTGAAACACACAACCTGCCTGCTAAGGCTCGCCCTTTTGGGGCAGGTCATACACAAAAAAGCATTCACCATTTTCTCATTTCTCCTTCCATTTGCCAGGGGACTATTTTGTGAAGGGCATGCCCTGATAAAGCGCATTAGGTAGGATATTTCTGGAGAAAACTGAACACGGAGCTCCCGGATTAAACCTTTTCACAGCACTAGTCCTCAACTGCATTTTTAATCCTCGCTGACAAACTGCTTCCCACCCGGCAACAGCGAGCGCCTGGCAAAGCCGCGTTCCTCCTGTGCGCGTCCGGGAACGGGCAAGCTTCGCTTTAAGGAAATGCGTGAACAGAGAGCAAAGCTTCTCAAACCCGGCACCAGGTGACCCTTCCGCAAGCTGCACACCACCACAGCTGCGTGGCAAAACCTCCCTGGGTATCCGACGGGTGAACGAACGCAGCTGCTTCTGCAGCGGCGTCAGCACGGCCCCCGGCAGGGGTCCCCCCCCCACGCTGTGCTCCCAGCTCTCCAGCGTACGCCCTCCTCGAGCTCCACGACCCTTTGGCAGAACTGGGACGCGTTACACATGGGTGCTTTCAACGCGCTGCAGCTCCTGGAAGAAGAGGGCGTCACTCCCCGGACGCAGGTTTTCACGGGTGTGCAAGGGCAGTTTGAGGAAATTGGGTCATTTAAGAGATGACAATTAAACTGGAAAGCACCCGGACAAGCAGGAGGAACAGACTGTTCCAGGGACCTGCAGGGGCATCCTCTTACCTCCCCAGCACTACGGCTCACGGGGATTCTGGTCCGAGCGGTCGCAGCAAGGACGCGGGCACTGCCTGCTCCCGAGGAAGTTCTTCTGGCACAGTGCAGCAGCGCAGAGCTGCTGCGTGCGGCTCCACAGCCCTCAGGGCTGTCCTGCGCCAGCCAGAGAACTCTCAAGGAACACTTTAAGCTCTTGCATTTTGGGTTCCAGCTTCCCAGGACACCAGCACAAGCACCCCCTTTTCTCTCTGCCATCCAACGCTCCTCTTGCCTGCCCTTGCACACCACACGTCAGGGAACAGAGGAAGAAAAATCCTGAAGAGTATTTCTAAGATACCTTTAAGTGTATTTACACCAGCTAATTTTAAGCTACCTAGCAGGTCACTGCTAGCAGCTAGGCAAGGCAACACAAAGCTCAGCTCTAGCAAGCCACCAGAGCAGACCCCGCAGCCGACAGCGAATGCCATCTGCTGCAGTCACCCTGCCGTCAGTGCTGCTTTGCAGGTGACCCACACACATCGTCACACGCTGCAGTTATGCCCCTGTTCACAATCTAGACCATAACAGGCTTGAAGCAGCAAAAGCAGCCTTCCCTGCCTCCAGTTCTTGTGCTGGTTTATGCAAGGAGGAGACTCCACAGACAGCGAAGTTCTAGGGAGGTGACTCCACACCTGAGACAGCGCCTGCCTTCTCCAGCACCCTCAGCTAGAGGCGTCCATGCAGCATCTCCTGCTAAACCCAGGTCTGCACAGAGGTCTACTCCAGTATTCCTTCGGTTTGCCAAGAGAAAAACGGGACCACATGATGCACTGACAGATCTTGGGCTGAGCGACAGACGTGAAGGACCTCACCTTTGGTTTTATGACGAAGCAGTAATGGTGCCTGTACTGTTCTGTCACTGAGCTGATGCTAAACCCAGCACCAGGAGGCTCAGCGGTGCTGACATACTCTGCTTTTACAAAGTAAAAGTTGCCCCAAAGAACGAACAGCTTCATAACAGAAACAACCACGATCACATCCGATCTTTCAGAGACTTTTCTTACAAGCTGCATGGATTCCAGTTTTCCTCCACAAAAATACGCCACTGAGTTGTTCTTCCATTTTAGGAGGGCTCAGCCCTGCCAGTAATGCTGTTATTTGGGTATTTTCATACACACATAGAACACATCTTTTCTCCTTCTGCATTTCAAGACAAGTGTCCAAAGCAAAAGCAAAGCACTGCTGGTTTAAAAGCTGACTGGGGAAGAGAACGAATAATAAAATCTCTGGATTATTACACATGCTACACTATATTACACTGTTGTGTGGGCGAGCACAGGGTACAAAACTATGGTTAATAATGGTGAATTGTTAAGGCTGATGACAGAGGAAGCTACAGAAAAACATGTTTAGGAGATCAGCTGGTGGTACAGTACAGAGGTGCCCTACTGCCTGTTGGTTGTTACCGAGCTGAAGAGCTACGACACTAAATGCCAAGGCAGAGATGCTCTTCATCTGAAACAGCTTCACTCCTTTCCCTTCCTAATCCCACCCACGAGATTATGAAACAGCTTCGAAAGCCGGGGCAGGTTTTGTTCTGCGCACTGTTTCTGCAGGGTTTGTATAAGACAAATATTATTAAAGTGTTCTATGTTTAAAATTTTCTTTCGTGTAAAACATACAGACAGAGGTATACATTCATCTATCTACATGCATACGTACATACATATAATTTCTGTCACGCAGATGTCGACAGCTCCGTGTGCAGGAATACAGGTTTGCTCTGCAGAGCCCGCGGCGTCGGCGTGGGGATCCCCGCCCCAGAAAGCGCCCAAGCTCCTCTCTAACAGCTCTCAGGCTCCGCCGCACCCCGAAGCCCAGAGCAGGGGCAACAAAGCAGCCGCGCAGGAGCTGCCCCTGGAGGAAAGCGGAGTCCCTGCTCACCAGGCACCGCGCAGACGCGTGCCTGCGTGGGGGCTCTGAGGCAGCACGGCTAACCCGAAGGCGTCCCAAGTCAAACCCTCCTTCACCACTAAAAGTCTGCAAATGAAATTCAGTTTGAATACTGAAAGGAGGAATCACGGTATTAAAGGAGCTCTGAAGCTGACCAGGGGATGAGATGATGATGTGTAGACCCCGCATTATCCAAGACTGCCCCCGACGGAACGCAGACATGCCCGAAGCGCTGCCCGACAGAGAGACCCAACGGACCAAGTGACAACAGAGTCTGCGAGGAACATCAGAACTGCAAACATCAGGAGCCAGCTGCACGCAGGCCACAAACACCGGCAGCAGCACGTGGCAAGCTGAGCTGCAGCACAGCTGGGTCAGCAACAGCCTGGAGAAGGACACAAACCGGGCTCTGCCAGCACGGGAAAGCCTGGAGGGGATCATGGCTGCTTTCTCTCTACGTAGGCACACCCCAGGCAGCTGAGCAGCAGAGAGGAAGAACAGCTCTACGCTGAAGGCCAGCAGAAACGGGCACCAAATGACGGCTACGCTGTCGCAGCTAACGAGCGGCGGGTTCCCAGCCAGAAGAGGCTGTAGCAGCCGACAGCGGGAAACAGGAACAACAAAAGCAAAGCTCTTTTAAAGAAGGCATTCAGTAGTATTTGTGAAAGGAATGACAACATGATGCCTACAACAGGGACCAGAGGCAGCAGCAGGAGATGTCCTAAATGCCGTGCTTCTAAAATTTGAAAAACGGAAAAAAAGAAAATTAAAAAAACAAAAGAAGTTACTAGTTGGCAGAAGGTTTTTCTGGACATCTCAAAAAAATACTTGAATAAAGGCTCCAGAGTTCTG